GTTCTTAATGGATATATAAATTTATCATATTCAACCCCAAATACATTAACACTTATGTTATTTTGTATTTCAAATTTATCTATATCAGATATTTTCACAGGATACTTTATGTTTGTCATATTCAACTGACTTTCATAGGGTACATAATTAGAGACTCTATTAGCACTTTCATTAGAGTTCCTTGGATATAAAGCTGCTAAAATTGACCAAAGGAAGCATTTATTATCAGAATTTTTTATATTTAAAACTGCATGTTTCGATTTAATACTCTCTGGTGTCGGGATATATGACTTTGGATATAAAGGCTTATACTTATAAACATGCAACTGCCAATATTTAGTATGGTCATATATCCATCCACTGCCTTGGGCTTGATATTTATGAATCGACGCATCAATCTTTAAAAGTGCATTTTCAATTTGAGGCTTTAAATCTCTCTTCTCAATAGTTAAGGTAGTAAGGCTTCTAAAATCTGCAATACATTCTTTTTCATTAACTAATTTTCCATTTTGATCCATTGAATATTTTATAAATTTGATTCTCCTAACTAAAGTCCATTTTATTGGCAGAGGATAAGACTTCAGAGTACTTTCAAGGTTAGCTCTAATCGATTCACCAACAAATTTTATCATTGTGTATGGACAATTGTTACAAGAATTGACATGTCTTTTAAAATGTCCAACAACATTTCTTTTACAAAAATTACAACTTTTGTGTCTTTGTAATATATGAGATTTTAAAGCCACGTTATTATCACAGATTAAATTGCAAACTTTGCACAGTTTCACCTTCATTTGATGAATTACCTTGTAGTGGCGAATCAGGTTACTTTTGGTGGAGAGCGACACGGAGCAGTGTTGACAGGTGGGCCTCATGGTCCAGAATGAAATATCACCCGGATGTCACTTCTATTTATAGACTTTTCAAAAATTTCAAAATTTTTAACTAGAAATTTAAAAAAATTAAAACAATTTAACTAGAAATTACTTCAATGGGAGGTCACCCACCCAAGACTTAATCAAGAGCTGCCACTAGAGACGAGAAAACCAACCATGAGTCGAGAGCGAGAAGCCTGACCATAGGTCAGGAGCGCGCCATGAGCCGGGAGCGCGCCCGAGTTCGCGTACTAACCTCGCACTATCAAGTTGATGTTTTTGAGAATATACATGTGAATGCATGTGGATTTGAAATAGTAATGAAGTTGTACAATGGTATTGAACATTAATATAGGAGTATAATAGGCCGTGGGCAGGAGTTTTACGATTGGTGGCCAAAAAATGCCCACCATGTTATTCTTATGGGGAAAAACGCCCCAAGTGACGTCATATTGTGGGTTCGCCACTACTCTACATTTACACTTGTAAGGGTCAATAAATGTAAGAAATAGCTTTTTTACCTTAATATCGAATATATTTATTGGGAATAATTAAGAAATAAGGTTAAACAATTATTTAGGGATATTTAGGCAAAGATCAGGATTTTTGGTTTTGGTGGCCAAAAAATGATCCCCATGTTATTCTTATGGGAAAAAACGCCCCAAGTGCTGTTAAACCGGTAGTTCTCCACTACTAATACAATAAATAAATTAATTTTCAAACTAGGTGAGTTTTTTTCGAGACCATGTATTTATGTCCGTTAGCACGATAATAACTCGAGCAAAAACCATCCGATTTAGTGGAATTTGGTATAAACATGTAAACGTACATTTTTTTTAACAAAACGGAGTTCGCGAAGCATAATTGACATGATAAGGCCATGGGATCGGTTGCTTTATAGGTATTTTGCCGGTAGGAATAGTTTTTTTTTTCATTTTTAACCCTCAAAACATACAATTTTACAATTGTATCTAAACCATTTTGTAGAGCTTAAAATTCTCAAGATTACCCGAGCGAAGAGTTATAGTTTATAGTTGTTTAGAGAACAATAGGTAGTATATTACGTCACTAGTCCTGAAATTAAGTGTTTACCGGACAAGTGTGGTCGTTCCCGTGCGAGACGAAGTCGAGTACGGGAATACCATACGAGTCTGGTTAACACATTTTGGACGAGTTACGTCACGATAGTCTAAGCCATACTACTAAATCTGTACAAATCCTTACATATAACCACCAACTAAAGGACTAAAAATCACCAGTCATAACCTTTGAGAGAGGTTATGTTTTTGTTTATAACCACTCATTTTCACCCAAATACAGTAAAATCAGCTGATTGGTGTCCGCAATGAAACCTCATTAAATTAAGCTGGCGGCAAACAGCTGTTTTCTGGACTAAATACTTGAGTGGGAAGTTCGTCAAAATAGTGTAGTCTGTCGTAAAATAATTTACCAATCATGTCCCGTTTAGTTACTTTAGTTTTGAACAGCATGAGAGCCGTTTTTGGCAATGTATTAATATTATATCAGCAAAAGCCAAAAATCCTAATAATAAGGTTATTACGAAAGCTCTCAAGGGTTATAAAATTAAATAAACGGTATCAGCAATCTGACACATAATTTCTCCCATTAGCTTGTCTGTCAACAACCCTTATCATGGGTAAGCGATGAGAGTAACTATGTATATTTACATAGTATAGTATGTAAATATACTACGTATAGTAGTTACTATGTATAGTAACTATAGTATATTTAATAGGTAAAGTCACAAAAGTTTCATTAACTTTTGAACAGTAATTTTAACAGGAATGAAGGGATGCACTATTTTTTTAGATTTATAAGGACTATAACAGAAGAGTTTCAATCAAAATCGAGTTTTTTCAAAAAATTCGTTGTTCCGTTTTTTAAATTGGTGTTTTATGGGAAAATAACATAAGTTACAATAACTTTAACCATAATTTTTACAGCAATAGGGGGGTGCACTATGTTGTTTGGAATTATAAGGATTATCACATACTAATTTCAATCTAAACCGGGTTTTTTTTTTTAAATACGATTTTCGCTTATTTTATGGGGATTTTTAATGGGAAAATAACATAATTTACAATAACTTTTAAACTCCATTTTTACAGAAATGGGAGTTGTACCATTATGTTCGGGATTTAAAGGGCTACAAATTACTAAATTTTTATCAAAATCGTTCGGGCCATTTTTGAGAAAATTCGATTTTTCCGTTATTTTATGGGGTTTTATGTGAAAATCCCCATTAAAAATCGAAATTTAAAAAAAGTGAAAAAAACGCCTGGAGATACCATGGATTAGTACCTACATACAAAATGTTACCAAAATCGGACTACAGTTATGGTCTGTAGCTCTGTACACATCCAGACACACAAACACAAACACAGACACAGACACGCACACACACACACACACACCCAAAACGGATATATCCACTCGAAAATTCGAAAATTTTGACGAAAACAATACTTTCTCCATATACACATAGTATATGGAGAAAGTAAAAGCGAGAGAGCCTGGATAATTTGATATACTTATAATATATATGTATATACTAATATATACTTATAATTACACTCATTTAGATTAGTCAAGGCGAGCTGTCACTCATAGGGGGAGAAAGTAAAAAATCAAAAATGAAATTAATAATATAAGGATCTTTTAGAAAATTATTGTTCTGTTTAGCAAAATAATTTATTGGTGGGTAATAATACCAGTGACTATATAAAAACTATATATAAAATAATATAGTGTTTATACCCACGGCCACCTTTAAATCTAGGCCGCGGCCTGGTAGAATAGGCAACGTCGCAAGTAGGGTTGTTTAGTGTCAGATGTCCCATAAGATAGCATGGCAGACAGGTGACACCAGCTGATTAATTCCAGTATTATTTATTTAAATTTAAACTTATGAATATTAATTTAATAAAAGATTGAAAATAAAACATATAGAATTGACAACCAAAACAATATAAATTTTAAAAAATTGAGTTAATATTTTCATATCCCAGTAACCAAGCTTTTGCATTCTAAAAAAATACACAAATTTGCTACCATTTGTGCCTCTAAACAAAACAGCTGTAACAACACTACTTGCTACATTGCCATCTCGATGGCCGCGGCCTGTAGTTAAGGTGGCCGTGGTTAATACACTATATTGTCAATATAATATACACTATATAAACATATACAATAAACTGGTGATTATATAGTCAATGATAATACATAATATGCTACTTATTTACAAACATATGAAATTATCAAATATTATCACTTATCAACAAATATCTTAATAATATATACTAGATACAGCTTTTCAAATCTAACAAATATTGTATTAAAAATAAATAATGCGTAATATAAGTACTTGACTTTACTTTATGAAATACCACTAAGGATAATAAGGGTTTGGGTAATATTTTCTTGGATAGAGGAACGCATTTACTAAGAATTTAAATCAAAAGGTTAACAAGTGAGAATGTACTTGTCACTTTTACTTATCTTTTGCTTAACCCTGAAATCATTTGTAGTCAGTTTTAAAAATAAAATGAACGTAGTTGAATTGAGCTATGACATAGTGTCCTGATGTCAATTACCGATTTGTTGAATACACTGTCAGTTTAACCATAGACAAAAATAATTAAATATAGACTGCCATCCGTGCTTTGGTTACCATGGTTACCATAGGTTCTGGCAAACACCGCTGGGGGAACCGTGTAGTTACGTAGCGCGTACGCCGTAACTACATGGCATCCCAGTGGTGTGCGTCAGAACCTGTGGTACCCGCAGCACGGCTGACGGTCTATATTTAATTATTTTTGTCTATGGTTTAACCAAGCCCAACTGAAATGACAACCTTTTGTAAACTATGGCGTATGTTAAGTCACATGAACTATCACATTATACAAAACTGAAGGAGAAAATGTAACTTGGCAAACACTGTAGCACATTTAGTCAACTATGTTCTACTTGGTTACTGATGGTCCATACAGAAGAGATGTCTACTTTGGTATCCAGAAGTCAATGAGTAGTTGATGTATATACAATTCTTAAAACAAAAGACTAGCAAGTTGTAATACTGAGGCTGCACCAGACATGACTCTGAGGCTATGCTTTTGCCCAGAAGTGGACTGTAGGGGTGGTGGGGGTGGGCACTGGGGGTGCAAACGCTGACTTGACTGGGCCCTCAGAAACAGAGTGGCGCATCGGGGGCGTCTGGCTAACCATCTCCACCTTGCCATGGTCCCGCCGCTCTCTTGCTCTCCGGTTTTGGAACCAAATTTTTATCTAAAAACAAACATTCATGAACAAATCTATATCTATAAAAGAGGAAGTATGTATGTATATACCCTATGAACTCTGAAACCGCTCGACAGATTGTAATGACACTTTCAGGCATTATTTAGCATTATTCAAGGATAGTTGGTGTGACGTTTGGTGCAGATTTGTCAAAAGGGCTCCGCCCCAGAGAGTTTCAAGAGATCCAATGTCAGAATTTTGGAACTACAATGTTAACAAATCTATATACTAGGAGTACGCTCCGAAGTCGCGTATGAGAATGAACGAAGACAATTCCATGTACATAATAATCTGTCTTTGGCCCCTCACCGCTCACGCTGCCCCTGCGGCGCGGCGCGCCGCAAGTTTGTGCGGTGGCAGTGGCCAGACTAACTGCGATTTTTTTTTTTACTACGGGCGTAATGCTCTTTTTTATAAATAATTCTAATGCCGCATATATCTATCCAAAAATCAAATATAAATAGCATGAGCTCTACTTTTCTCTATCATAAATTATAACGTCAGTGGTGTTTGTTATGTTTCTGACTGGGGATGTTAATCTAAACCTTAGACCTGTTAATTCACAAGGTAATAATTGTTATAGCCCCGAAGCAAAAAGTAACTGGGGTCAGTTTGACACTAAGAATTGTCCATCCTAGGGCCCGTGCCCCTGGGCATTTGCCCCCTTAATTAGCCCCCCTCACGATGGTTCTGTAATCATGTGAAAGAGTGATTAAAAATCATGGGCTGAGTATCACTTCTTTAAATTAATAATAAATTATGAACATATTTTTTTTAACCTAACGTATTCTATGATGCACAAATAAATTGTGTGTGATGCATGGCCAAATAAGTTGAATGTATTTCAATGTATTACTGTACAGTACCAAAAACATTAATAATTGCTCTATTCTGCTTAGTAACGGAGTTGTTACTAAGCTACAACTACTTACTGTAGCAAGCGAACTATGAAGGGTTCTTCAGGTTTTGTATTACAAATTACAACAAAACTTTCAGACAATAACACATACGGATCCGTCCAGCCCACGCCATCTGTATTTTGTTGTTGGTTCATATAATTTATTCTTTGTTAAATTTTCATATTATTTACAAAATGTATTGATTGTTAAATCACATTCCATACTGTTGGTAATCCACAGAGCTGACACCAAAAAAATTAACATATTGGACATGTTAGTTTTAATGTTTAGCCTGACTGTAGCCATGCTATATACACCATGTCAATTGTCAATGCATTTTTGTAATGTCCAATGACAAATAAATATTTCTGATTTTATATTATCATCCGAACCGCTAAATGAACCTCAGATTCGTAATTTTAACCTTCTTTTTACAGCCACTTAGGAATCTCACCGACAAAAACCAATTGCATTTTTGGATTCAGTGTGAAAGAAACTGTAATTAAACATCTAAAAAGTACATCATATCCCAATGATGACATACTAAATAATTGCAGTGAAGTATTTTTTTCGAAAAAATACTTTACATTAAAATACTTGTTACATATTGGTATTTATCCGATTTAATTTTTGTAGGTATTAAGAAATATTCTTTATTTTTCCCCGATGTAGCCTAAACATAAAATTGATTAATGGCTTGTTCGGTTTTTGTTTATATTTCATAAATTAAACTACTGTCTAGGACTATAATTTACCAAAGGAAACAAAACAAATAGGCCTAGGCCACCTAATAACAATACAACTAAGGATAAAAAATAAAATGCTTCTTTAATGTTTTTTGTTATTTTTTTATTTATATCATATGGTATCTTAAGGTTAAGATTAACTCAAATTTGATACGATAGTTAAGTTATTATTGAACCAATTTATAGTTATGTTAGGCACCTTTTTATAAACTCATGAAAAAGATCAAAGTTAACTTACCGTAGCCAAATTTATCTCTTAAACAAATCATACACAAAAGATTGATGTTGTTTTTTAGAAATGCTACCTTTGTTATTAGGCCTATTATAAACTAAAAAGTAAGCTACACAGTGTAAAGAGTATACTTAAAAAATATGTTAGGCATAAATTGTTCAATATTGAAAGAGACCTAGGCCTACATGATAAATGGATTAAGGTAAGTTGTATCACCTAGAAATTAACTGATTACGATATTTTATAGCCTAAACTTATAGGCTATATCAAACGAATATTTCATCTTATAACATATGGGTCATTCTCAAATTCAAGGTAACTTTGGGGATCGGAAAAAAAACAAAAAATTATCTTTTTTTTACAATCATTGATTTATTAAATCAAAAGAAATATATCCCTTAATAAGAAAACAAAGATGGCTGAGCTTAATTCTAACATTTTTTGTTAAAATTATACAATTTTCTTTCAGGATGTCATACATTTTTTCCCCCCGCTCACGTTTTTCCCCCCCTTAAAAAAAAGAAAAAAAGAAAAAAAGTAAAATTTATAGTTTTAAGTAAAAGTTTATAACTGTAGCTAACAATTAAAAATTTTAAAAACGTTGTTTAATTAAAAGTAATAGTTGCTGATCCAAAAAAAACCTCCATTTTTTACCAAATACACCAAAACAGAAGTTAAAATTTAGAATAAAAGCTACTTTTTTATTTAATTCATAAAAAAAAACTAATAAACCTGTGTAATGATCATTGGTTCTTGCGTTGAAATTGAAAACAGGTTTTAAAAAGAAATATTTTTTGATAAACAGAGCTTTTACTGGGTGTGAGCGAGGAGAATTAGTGTGAGCGAGGGGAACTACAGAGTGAGAAAGGGGAACTACAAAGTGACTTTAACCCAGAGGTTAAATTGTTACATAGGATAGTAAATTTTACAAAACAAAAATAAATTATCTTTTGATTTTGGAAAGTAATCATGACAACAAATTAATCTCTCTAAATAAGTTATTTGGTCACGAAACATTCTCTTCGCTCACGTTTTTCTCTCCGATCACGTGAGTGGAGAGAACGTGAGCGGAGAGAAAATTTGAAGGTCTATTTAGACGCGACAGTAACTGCAGCTTCTGCTGGCCTGAGAGTGAGGTTATACTGGCTGCTCGGTACTTTCAAACAATACCATTGTAATTATTGTTATTTGTTAATTTATTGAGTTATGATACGTGAGTGAAGGGAACAGCAATAAAGGTACGCACTAAATCTTGTATCGTAGGCTAGGTTCCCTGCGAAACTGTCCCCCTGAAAATGGGCAACTTAACCTAAGTAGGCCTACTAAGGACACAGGTCTAGTAGCTAGAAGAAAGTTATACATTGCCTTTTTAGGTCTAGGTAGGATTATTAAGGCATATTTGCTTGATTGGATTTATACTAAAATGTCTCCTTAAAAATATCAAATTTAGGCTAATACCTATTTAAATTCAATTAGTTAAACGAGAACTTAGGTTTGCTGCAACAAGGAGAGTAAAAAAGTGTTTTTTGTTGTAAAATGTTAGTAGTTTAGTAAGAAATAAATGTATTTTCAGATATTCAACCATATACAAAGCACTTTGATCAAAATATGCTCAAAAACAAGCAAACTACCGGTACAACAGTTGAATTATTCTCCATAAGAATAATACTTATAGCTATTTAAAATTTAAAATTTTTGGAATTTCCTCCATACAGTAACTATTAGATACATAATAACGCTTCATTATACTAAATTATTATTTGTTTTTTAATCTCTACAAAATGGTTTGGAAAGAAATTGTAAAATTTTGGGTTTGGTCAAAAATGAGAAAACCCTATTTTTACCTCATAAAACCCCCATAAACCCCCGTTCCTAAAGTTAGATGATGCTGGTTTGTGAAAATAAATGTAGGCCTAGCCTAGGTTTACACGTTTATACCAAATATCATCAAAATTGGATCTTTTAGCGAATTTCCCATATAGGGAATAAGCTATTACCGTAGTACTCATGGTAAGACCTGGACGCGGGACCGATTTTTTTTTCGTTTTGAGGTCCCTAGAGGCCAAAAACACCATCCGTTCAAATTCATATATATATATACATATATATTTATATATTTATATATATATATGTGTCCGTCAGCACGATAACTCGAGCAAAAATGATCCGATTTTGATGAAATTTAGTACAAACGTGTAAACCTACGTCTATTCGAACGAGTTCGCGATCCAGCATGATCGGACCATGGGAACGGGTGTTTACGGGGGGTTTTATGGGGTAAAAATAGGTTTTTCCCAATTTTGACCCAAAAAACATAAAATTTAGCAATTAATTTCCAAACCATTTTGTAGAGCTTCAAAAAACAAATAATTTAGTATATTGAAGCGTTATTATGCGCCTAATGGTTACGGAGAAAATTCCAAAAAATTGTAAATTTAAAATTCCCATGTTATTCTTATGGAGAATGAGTAAACTGTTGTAGTTTGCTTGTTTATGAACATATTTTGATCAAATTTGGAAAATGTTTTTATTTCTTACTAACTATTAACATTTTACAAAAAAAAAACAGTTTTACCCTCCCTGATGCAGCAAACCTAAGTACTTGTTAAACTAATTCTATTTAAATCGGGAATAAATGTTATATTTTTAAGTAGACATTTCAGTGTAAATCCAATCAGTCAAATGGAAATTCGCTTAGTCTGCAGGTTTGCTGCGGCGGGGGTATTTTGCTTGTTATTGCTTACCGGTAGGGCCTATAGGTTAGACCTAAGTTATTAAAATTCATCGAACCGAATCATAATTGATATAGCCTATTATTAATTTGTTAAAATATCGCAGGTTTTAGCGGAACTCCACCCATGCCTAGGGACTACTAACTTAAATGAGAAATTCTTAGGTTAACTGACTTTTAGAACACTCGTTACATAAGTTTAAACTATTTATAGATTCAGATGAGCTACGAATGCTTTAAACCTAACTAAGGCCTGCATGTAGTAGGCTTTTTATAGAAACTTGACTGCAGACAGATAAGTTAGGTCTACCTAACTTAATTCACCCTAGGCCTACTTAACCTGGAGTTTCCTAAGTTAGGCACAGAAACGGATTGCAAAA